ATGACAGAGAGAACCTATGCTCTTATATCACCATGACAGAGAGAACCTATGCTCTTATATCACCATGACAGAGAGAACCTATGTTCTTTCATCACCTCACTAAGGGACTATTGACATCCTCTTTATCTCTCGTCTTCCTTTGACATTTATGCTCTTCTACCAGTGAAGCTACAACAGTATTATTGCCCACTAAAGCCCTGGTAGCCTTGGAGTAGAGACTCTTAACTAGGTCCTACCTTTCAGAATCAGGACGGACCTGTAACTCACATACGCCAGATAACCAAATCCTGTAGTAACCTAGATACCTCTCAACTACCCGATTTCATGAAATACTCCCCTCCTTGTACTCTCCGTTGTAACATGTATCTTTAATAGAACAATATACACATATACAATTACTAAAATGACGAAACAGTATATTGCTTTTATATTAGTAAAAGTATTGCAATAATGTAACAAACCTGATTACTGCATTTTACTGGACGATAGTCTTGTGCTTTTGTTCCTACTCCTCCCCCCTTTAGCTTTAACTAAATGACATCCCTAGGTTTCTTTATTTTTCCTAAGATATTGCTCTGGCGTGGTCTGTAATTACATTTGCTATATAAAGATATCAGTCATTTTCTCTATTTGTATAAACCTATAATAATTAATCTAATAAAAATAGCTCAACATCACGAAAGGTTCTTCCACTAGTTTCTTATTTTCATAAGTTTTTTAACAGAATAAGAAACAATGTTATATTTTAAATTCTTTGTTTATTTCTTTAAATACGAAGCATGGTATTTCACATTGATGACGTCATATGTTATTCTATTTCAATAAAATACTCATTCTACACCAAATTATTATATAATGTGTCAATACTTGTACTAATGGGACATTTTAAGAACTTGATTTAATGTCTATCAACGCTTGTAAGAACGAGCACTTGTTAAAATATAGTCACTACACATATTTTACTCACCGTCCACCCTCCACCATCAGTAACCATATCACAAAATACGACCACAGGTCTGTGGTAGTAACGAGGCCAAATTCGATACCAGCCGTTTTCAAAAAAACCTAAGGCATGTAAATCCAAACAATTAGTTGCTGGGCGAGGAACCTCCGACTGGTTGAATAATAAGTTAGACGAATCTACTCGAGAATGTAGGCTTAAGATATGATAGAGAAGTACTAACACTACAAACGATACTGTAGTACCCATTTTAGATGTATGTGGAACAGTTTCTGTTTCTCTGGAAGTTTTCTCTTGTTTTATATACACGTGTAAATACCTCATTCATTAAATAAATATAATCCACAATCCTATATAATTAATTTTGACGTCATTTATTCAGATATCATGAAGACGAAGAGAGTATATTTATTGCTGAGAAACTTTCCACTTGACCTCTTTTCTCATTAATTTCACGAGGTCAACACGAACCATCTGTCTTTGAAAGCCAGTTTTCCTAGAAAATATGAACAGTTTCGTAAACTTAGAAGCGTTAACGTTTTGATAGGATAAGAAGATAAATCATATTAACAGTAAAAATTTACGAGTTGTATGTAATATAATGTAACTCCAGATGAACCAAGACGTTTTCAACTGAGTTTCCATTAATTTTGTCCTTGGAAATGTTTTTAAACTTAACCTAGACATATCTACAGTAATATGATTATGAAACATATTGAGGTTTAGGTTATGTATATATTTACATTATGTTTATAATCTCGATGTTGTATTATTTTACATACTCTTATTTGTGTTAATTACTCTGTCGGTTTACTTTGTGTATTAAATCCACTGTTGGGGTTAGGTTACTAAAGTACTTGTCATAAATTTTATTCCTTCTAATTCTACCAGCTATTAGGCATTATGTAGAAAGTGAGTTATAAACAGGGAAATACCAAACCAGAAAGACAAGAAAAATGATTAAATAAAACTAAAATTTTCTGGACAACTTCAGTTAGACGAAACTTGTTACGTCATCCAAAATGACACCTAAATCAGATGAATAGAGAAACCTTTGGAGTGTTAACATAAGGCATAGCTAAAATGTCAAAACTAAATATACAAAGCGTGACAAGCACATCCCTATATTGAATGCGAATTTGTTTGTCTGCTATTTCCTCCTTCAGTTTTATAGGACCGAACTTGGGAGGTGAACTAGGGGTGGTCCTGGGATGCTTTATCTATATAGCATAGCCATCCTACCAACGAGATACCAAGGGGGCGGTGGTACAAAACGCGCCCGGAAAACCTCCTAGTCATAAGGGGAGGAAAGGAATGGTTTTCATAGGTGCTGACCCCGAATCTGGTATCGGGTTTGGTTTTTCTCCACTCGGTATCATGGGGTACCATATTTGAAACTGTATTCATACCAAAACTTGCAAGTTAGCGGGAACACACTTGTCACACAAAGTTAGATACGACGGGCGAGTGTTCTAACCATTGTTTTTCTACGTGAATGGAACCTATTTTTGGATAAGAACAGTAATATTTGGGGTTTTGGAGGAGCCTGATCGCCATATTTGGACCCCTGTGTATTATGAGGGGGTCTATGAACCCTGCAACGGAAAGACCGTCACATCACTACGTCATGCTAGCTTGGCTTGAAATAATATTACTGTCAAAACATTTTAGAAATTACAAACAATAGGCACGATGAACAATACCAAGCTAAATTATTTTTATGTGACGTAACTAAATATTATTGAATGTGAACAAATGGTAAGTAAGAGATCTGCATTGTTATTCGTTACAGGTGTTTCAGTTCCGTGACGACATCACTCCAAGACAACACTTCAACCTATCATGGGATACTTATAAACATGGTTTCGGTAAACGAGATGGTGAATTTTGGTTAGGTAAAATGATTTTTATAATATATTAATACAATTGTATTTTACTTGTTTATTTGAAGTTGAAACTTCTCAAGTCTCTACACGTGTTTACAAGATAAGATAAATATCTCTTATTTCAAGTACAGCCCCTTTTCCTTCAGATACTTTTTATACATGTTTCCAGCTAGTATTACAACTTAACACAATTTAACTTCTACAAACCTGGAGTCATTCTTAGGGTCCGTATCAGTAAGTCAGTTGTTGTGTAAAGACAACTGTAACTTCATGTATATATTATTTAAACGATTGAAACAAAGTCATACAGTCTATAGAATTAAACGTAACATGTTGAATTAAATAGAGTTAATGGAACAAATCTAGTAACGAGACTTGTCCAGGTCATATCACTTAACATGATGCTTTGGAGTACAACATCTGAAGATGTAATGTAATACATTCTACATATAAAAACAGTGTACAAGGAGTAGAATACCAATAAGTAAATTTCACTAAATTTTTAAGTCACGTGATGTTTTACAAATACACAATTACACGTTCACAAATTTCATTGTAAAGAAAAGTAATAAAACTTCTTGTTTCAGCTGCAACATGAACCAATAATATTTACCGACATGAATGAACCATAAATATATTTAGAGTTAACAATAAAACTAATGACATGAGCCAACAAACATTATGTGAATGTCCTTAAAGTGACATATAATGGCCGTTAAACTTACAGCGTTATATCAATATCTGGTCGTTTGTTAATTTCCTGTAAAAATTCTTTCAAAAGAACTTCAGCGATACAAGTCCTTTCTTAATAAAACTAGTTTATTCTTTCTCAATACACTTAATTGCCACAGTCACTTTAACTTAAACACACGCTATAATTCACAACGATTCACGCACTTTACTCGCGACTTGACTCTCA